GGATTTACCTAAAGTTTTCGCACAGTATCAATAAACTAAGATTCAACGTACATCATATGACCTTTGGAGATTTTGTGAAACATTTGCCTTTTTCTAACTCTAGCAAGTCGATCATATCAATACTATCAACATAAGAGAGACCTTTACCTGTTCTTAGGTATATTTGTCAGCTCAGCTAATTTCTGGAATGGTGTGTAAAAGGCGGTATCCTTTGGGTCCGATAGGGAGAACTTCTCATTGTTTTCCACCATTCCTTTCTTAAGAAAAAGAAAAAAGGACAATATAGTTCAACAGTATAGCTATATTTAACACAAAAATAAAACGGTAAAACATTTTTTGTCTCACCACACAGTTGACATGGTGTGTCATTCCTTCCTTGATTCCTTGTTTCAAAAGTTGGATAAACCATTTCATCTGAAAAAAACAAACAAAAACGAAATGCGACGGTGATCATACATACTGTCTCTCAAAGTGTATTGGTTGTGTGTAATGTATTTAATTACATGACATGATGTGTACCACACGTAACTCAATATCACCTTAGATTGCAGGGAGCAATGAACTCAAATTATACACACTTTGAACAAGCGACCTTACTGCCGAAATAGCTACGCTGTTTCAGTAGAGTCGTGAGTGTTCCCCTAATATTACAAAAGAGACAAATCTAATAGAGGTCCATCCAAGTTATACATATATCAAGTGAATAATAACAGTTAGACGATATCGTCACGAAATTAACAAGTCTGATAAAGGTTCACACAAGGTACCTACATACCAAATATTAAAGAAACACCAGGGTCCATATATATATATATATATATATATATATATATATATAAAACATAATTACTTTTACACAATTTATTATATATATATAAAACATAATTTACAAATTACAATTTATATATATATATATAAAACATAATTACTTTTACACAATTTATTAATTAGGTTATGAAACAACTCTAATTCTTACCCGTACCCCGCCGCAGATATATACCCGTATATTAGATATGTTACATAATGTCCCTACAGACACTATTGCTCAGGATCAACTTTTATGTGTGAACATTCTTAATATTTTGAGGATTTACAGAAGCAGCGTCTTTTCATTCCAAGATAAGCTTAGCTCATATTATTAGCAGAGGTTGATGTTCTCACTCTCATGCAATTATGTATCAAACTGTCCTGGTACAACCATACTGAACGCTGTCCAGCTATATCACACTTTGCGTACAACATGTTAGCGTTTTGTTATACCCTGCTACGACAAATTCATTCATCAAAATAAATGCATGGATGCACTCATTGAATTATCTGATTAAACAAAAATACCTGCTCAGGGAACTTTTCATATCTTGACAGTAACTTAGTATAATCGCCTTCGTTTTCAAATGTCATTCGATTGATGACTCGGGCAAAGTAGAAACGACCATCTTCTAGCGAATTGAGGCACAGCAGATAACTAGACGCGATATTAGAAATAACAATTAGACAAATTTAACGCATAGTTCTTGAACTGAACAACGTCATAATACATGACCACTTTGTGAATCATTTGTGAAGAATTTATGAAATGTAATTAAACACATATGAAGTATATAGAAGCATATGTGACATATATTAGTGTTTATATGACGACATTAGAGTAAGTTGGGCGAAATTAGAGTATATATAGCTATATTAGATTATAAATGGTGATATGTATTACATACAAAGAGAAGATAAAATGTCAGCTACCAGTGTGTTAAACAGCGCCATGTTGGTTTGCATAGCGCGATACAAGAAATACATTGGACGCCAATTTGTCAAACAATTGAAAATAAACGAGTGGCGCGTGACTCGTTGAAAACACACTGTCCACATGACATCATTTAGGCAGATCAAAAGCTTTGAGATACATCGACATTAATCCGAACCGAAAATAATAACACGCGTATGTTCGACGAATATTATACAGATCTGGTTGAAACAGTAACAACTTGCCCCTTAAATTCAATTCCCGACAGGAACATGCTTAGTTCTTGTTTCAATATGACGTAATTCGTCCAGTCTTCTGCGTCCATGTCCGATTCATCGAGGTAGTTCAACTGACGTAAGAACTCTTCGCCTTGTTTCTGTTACAAAAAGCAATATCGAACCCTAATAAAAAGCAACATGCAGCCCACAAGTTACAAGTGATTTACTGACACTGTAGTGAACACTCGTCAAGGTGAGAGAAACTTTGTCTCGCTTGGCTGAGAGATACCAGATTTGACCCAAGGGAATACCAAAAGTTACCCACTCTCTCCATCTTAAAAGTAACTAAGGATTGGCAGAGTAAACATGGATTAGGCTATCGCTGCAGTCGTTGGCACTATCACGTGATTACTAGGAATGTGTCACACGGTTAAAGCCTTGCAAAGTTGTCACTACTAAATACAATAGCTACATATTTACTTATCAAATTCCTGTAATATATGTTTATAATCTCTAACCTAAACATGCAAGTTGTTGATTCTGAACATTAGAGCAACGGCGTGTGAACTGAATGTGCATACGTGAAGTCGCTATAGTAACAAAACACTGGAATATTTGGAAAGCAACATTGTGGCGAGATTCCACACGAGAGTTACAGTTTTATACTGCCCTTAGTCATGTAATCAATTTTTCTGGTCGTGTGTTTCTGTACTCCACGCTTAGTCTTTGTTTCTTCATGAAGATTAGTAATCGCCATATTTTTGTTCAATATGCATTGGCAGATTGCCAAGTTTCTAAGAAGATATCAGTAACACCCACGATTTAAGCCTATGTAGATTACCGAACATGCAGGCATTTCTGAACTACTAGCATGGCTAATTGGGATTTACGTAGCCAGGTGTATTAATAATGTTTACCATAACTGGAACATAGCTTAACATAACCAGAGAACGAGCACTAATCACCAGTATGAAACAGGATCAACCACCTAAATGCAAGTGTTAAATGTGAATAAAAATGGCGCCACGAGGCGAAACCCGTAATTGACAGGCATCTTTGGATATTGGATGGAGAATATGGCGAAGCGTTCATCTTCTATGCTGTGTGTCAATAAGCTCAATTGGTATTTGAGATCAAAGACACTGTACGTCTTTCAAGACATTGCAGTAGAAGTTCGGTTTAGGGAAGAAGACGGGCGTCCTATATTCGATATGTTGTTCCAGACTGAGACACCCCCCCAATAGCTATTCAGCCAACATATACTTCACATTACGCATCGCTACGCTACGACAAGTCCACTGCTTACCTTCATATCATCATACGTTTCGAGCGTATGACAATCCAATTGGTCGTCGTAAACATGGCACCCCGTCAGCGTTGCGAATTCGGGTCTGATTTTCAACCTCCAGTTCCAATAGACATCAGCCAGCTGACGAACGGGGCTACTTGCTCCTTCCTTATGGTGGCAGAATTGTAACGCATCCGACATCTTGTACGTCTACACGGCTACGGGTTATTTAAACACTCAGATATATGACAAGCGATATGTACCTTGCTGATCAAACAATTGGTCGGTATATCATTGAATTATATTTGTGACTATATGGTCAAGGATTCAGATAGCGTGGGGTCACACAAAGAGTCACAGTTAAGGTCACGAACGCACAGTTCACTGATACTGATACTGCGTGGTTGGGTAAAATCTTTCAATACTATCTGAGATCTCGCCTTTAAAATCGTATATTGCTAGTCCAATACTACTACTACCCAGTAACTACTACTAATATACAAGTCTAGTTGTTCAATTCGTGTTTGATATTCGTTAATCATTGATGTAATTTTTAATATAAAATGAAGTATTTTCTCCACTCACTTTTGCCTTCTATTCAGTTTCGCTGGTTCCCGGCGTCCTTTGTGAATGGCAGTAAGACGCAGGTAACTTAGTAGTCGCCATATTGTCCCACTTGTCCGGGATTTTGGCCCAAAGTCACGTGACTAAGTGACGTAATTTGAAAACATTCTAATATTCGTTTTCTGTGAATAAGTCTTCATTACGCCATGCCCATACATTCTACCTGCTCAGACTTACATATTTGAAATGTTTCTGGCATTTTTCACTGTTTCTGTGCAAATTTATAACATACGAAATAATCTTTTATTCGCCAAACTTTCGAAAGTAAAAGGAAACCCCTGCTCTAGGGCCAAGGGAAATAGAACAAGCAACGAGAAAGTGACGGGCCAATAAGAATGCCGAATTCGTTACTAGTTACCAACTTAGTTACCGTTACTACTTGTGGCTTAGTGCACCATGAAACTCGAGGAGGGAACCAGACAACTATCCAGTCTTACCCAAGAGTTACAACAACGAGGGCGCTATATTGCTGGAGAGCCTCGCTTTCGTTTACGTGACAACTCTACAGTCATTATAATGGTCATTACAGTACTTTGACCCATATATACACTTGGTCCGCAACTTAAAAAAATCTTGAAGTGTAACAACTTGGCATTGAACATATACCACGTTTTAATGGGTACATTGCTAGTTGTACCAATTAAATTATAATTATTACAAAGTTTCCCATTCAAGAGTAATAAACTATGGAAACCATACGAGTGTCTCATAACAAAAAAGGCTCATCTTATTTGTAGTACACAGTGTGTTGTAACATAATCAAAATAATTCTGCATAATCACCAGGCTCTTCAATATTTGTCATTCTATCGGAAACTGGGAAATTGTTAGTTAGACAAATTCTGTACTCTCATCACACTATAATTGTCTCACAGGAGATGCCCTGATTACCAATGACATAGACACTTCAAGGTCAAGTAGCTCCTTGTTGCAAGGCATACCATCTTCAGTTCGGTCACATTGCCTCAAACTCACGACAAGTTGCTATACAAGCAAACAGTTACTTTGAGCCATCTGTCACATGGTGCTAGTTGGAGGGAACTAAATCTGTGTAATGTACCACACAAACACCCATAAAACCCCTATGAACTCGGTTCCTTGATATTTCGAAACAAACGTATAATGGATATGCGACATAAGATACAAGTATACGTACACAGTATAGTTTAAACAACGCACTTTATTCCACACGTGTAAGAGGTGGGCAGGAAATATGTTGGAGGACATTATTCAAATGAATGAATAGGTTCCCTCCAAAAGTCATTTTAAAAATTATAATACTGTTTCAGAGGCGGTGATACTAAATTTTACATGGAGGAGCGATATACGCTCATCAACCTCGCGCCGAAGGCGTGACCTTACTAGGAGGTCCGGGGGCATGCTCCGCCTCAAACATTTTGATATCTAGGCCCTCTGAAACGTTATTTCCTGCAGTTTGAAGGGCACATTTATGCCGCCACTATATTTCTGCCACAAGCCTCTTTCTTTCTTGACTTCCCATTCCCTCGTCGTGTGATATGTGTGGCATATTTAAGGTGGATTTTACCATTCAAATCAGCGCAGGGAGTGTCACATTAAGTGCTCTAAGAAAAAGTTTTCTGTCTATTTATGTACGTATACGTGGATGCTGCCATCTTTGCATGAATCAAATTCACCGGCTTCGTAAATACTGGTATTTAGGTCTACCTGTTTCTAGTGGAAATTTAGCCGATCTTATTACCCAAGCCAAATGTAACAACACTCATTTCCAAGTGCCATACCTTAAAACAGGTAGTCAAATTTTACATTGGCTGGAGCTTTTGTTTATATGGAAATGGTCATGGTGAAAGGCAAACTTGGTAGCCAAACATAATAAAAGTAATAAAAATAAGCACCGGCCTACGCGGCTCACACCACTATGAAATAACTTTTGATGGTTTTGTGTCTCTGATGGATAACATTCAGGAGACAGCTAACCATAACCCTTACTTTAACACCTACACATCCCTAAATTACTTGTATATGCCCCTCTAGATAACTATGCTCCACTTGGGATAAGCATATACAATTGAATTGGGAAGCGCTTGAGGGTAGGGTTAGGGGTGATTACAAAAGGAACTCCTATACATCATCAAATCTGGGACGTTAGAAATGATGGGGAATTTGTTTATGTCGTAGGATATTAACCTAAAAATCTATCACAATAACCTACATTACAAAACCCGGGCAGCAAAACCATACTAGGTCTGCGAAAGCAGCCATCTTGGAAATGAAAAACGTCACGCTAAAATGACCCCTTAAACAGGTGGATTATAAAAACAATTGTTGGAACACTTGTTAACTCGCAATCGTGGCAATGTTCAACGCAGTGATAGTGAAACCTTCGGTCAAACACGTAATCATTAATAAAATTGAAACTGCTCCAAAGATTTTTTGGAAAATTCAAACTGTTAAAACTTACCTCGTAGCAGTTATATTCACTAGACGTATTTACGAGATAAAGCAATATTACTCTGTCACGTAATTACAGGCAAGGACACCCTCTATATTTCTATTAGAATATGATTTGAATGTTGCATGTAAATTAGAGTTTCTGGCGTCAGGCTTGGAATCATAAAACACCTTTTGGCGTGTACTGTTATAGTAATGAGGTAGTGAATAGTAATCTTTAAACCAATCAGAGGCCAGTGTGATTTACAGTCGTGTGGCGTAAGAACCAAGATGACCTTTACTTATCAATACCTCAAGTGACGAAGTGATTGTTGAATATTTCCCGCGACGAACATTTGCAAAAAATCTGCCGACAATCCGAAATTAAACGACTTTAGCATTAATTGATACTACATCCAAATAACTGAGCTACGGAGGGCAATACTAACTACATTTTTGTAAAGTTTGACAACACTTATGAAACAATCGTGAGAAGTTACGCCATTTTGTGTATGACGTTTAACACGACCGTTGACCTCATTAAATAGAATGTGCACGTGACCAGACAAATCTAATTATAATTTGCATATTTGAATATTTTATAGCAACGAACGTACAGTAGCGACATTTCTGAAATATGGAATGGAATCTTCCAAATTGTAGCCAGTCTATATGTATATATGTAGTGAGTGAACTACAGTGGCATACTGGTGTCACATCATGTTTTACTTCTCGCAACATCATTTTTCGAAACACAACTTTATTTTACGAAAGAACCTAGTAGGAGGTGGCTTGGAAGTATTTGGTTGGAAATATAGTTTGAATATTAATACAAAGCATGGAATTTGTTTGAAAGTCGAGAAACACAGTTGTGAAAGTTGGGTGGAAAGTTGAGATAGAGAGAGTAGAAGAGAGTAAAAAAACGTTTTGAAATTGCTGTGATTGTCAAAAAAATTGATGACAGTCAAAAACGTGGTTGAAAACTCGTAGGATTTGGGTAGAAATTCAAAACATTGGAAGTTTAGTAAAATTTGGTTAGATAGAAAGATGATTGAGAAAGCGGACATTCGGTTCGAAAATCTTCGAAAGTTGCCGAAAATGGGTGGGAAGTCTGAAAATTTGAATTAAAATTTGCTAAATTTCATCGACAATTTCTAAAAGTCCAAAATGCCGGTTAAAAAGAAAAAAAATTGGTTGGAAACGCGCGAAATTTGTTTTAAAAGTTGACAATTTGGTTTAAAAGTTGTAGAAGCTGGGAACTGGCGAAAGTTGGCTGGGAAGTAATGAAAATTGGCTGGAAGTTGAGTTTAGTTGATTAGTTGAAAAGTTGGCTGGAGCGTCTAAAACGTCGAAAATCAAAATAGTTGGTTAGAAACACGAAGTTGGGTGGATTTTTGAGAAGAAGTCGAAAAACATGGTTGGAAAGTTAGTAAAGGTGACTAGCAATTCTAAAAAGTCACCTTTCAAATTTATAATGCAAACTAAGCTGTCGACAGCCCTCAGGCCTAATTTATTAGTATTTAGAAGTCAACAAAATAAAGGTCACGGACTCACGTGCTCTTTTCGCCGTTCTTTCGTGCAGATATTTTCAGAGTTTTAAACCGGCGACCAACATTAGTAAACCTTAAAGCGTATTTATTATTACTGCAGTATAGCATGTTTTGTCGGTCATCGTCGAAGTGAATCAATATAATTATGTCATCCTGTCGCTGTGAATCAGAAAACGCCCACGACAAATCTGTGATTGGTTGATTACTTCGTGAAGTTGCATGAGCTGTCAATCATTCTCCGTTCAGTACCAGTGGTAAACCACGTAATGTCCGTTTACAAACTCTAACAGTCATCAGGCCACTAATCTTCGCTGAAATACATGGGGTACTTCTTGCAAAAGCCTTCGGCAGATTTAGTACACTAACAAATAAGAATTAGTCTGAATGCAAACTCATTGTAGAAGAAAAGTGTAATTTGATTTTTTTATCTTATACAATTTGGCTCATTAAAGAGCATTTCCAAGTATAAGATACACAAATAAACATTACTCGTTATGCAGGTAAAAACTGTTTTCAGGTTATAAAAACTGTTCACCATAGGTTTGGAATGCATAAATCTGCCACATCCATTTATTCTAGTGTATAGCTTTCTACGTATAACGCCTATAAGAATTGAGCAATTCTTGTTTATAATGAATTTTATTTTTTCTTGTGGCATTCATCACTATCACCAACTACAATTTCTATTAATTTTCTACTACATGATTGTCATTAATATCAAGATCACGATTTAGTGTGCGCAATTAGGTGACTAGTTATTACACATGCACAATTATTATTATACCAGGCAAACGAAGACATCCTGAATATTTACGGGGTTATTGTCATATTCATTTCTGCATCTGCGCGAGTCATCCACAATCTCCTGCTGACTGGAATCACTTTCAAATTAACGTCTACATTTTGCTAGATTAGAACCTTGGCTTGCTAAATCTCATTTCCGATCTGGAATTTCTGTAAAATATTCAAATATGACAAGTTTCTACCGAGCAACTTCTACACATTTACAAGTATGTATCTTGTGCACTACATTGCGTTTCCTTCATTAACTAGCAACAACCATTTGTGGTATATTCGAATCATGTCAATTCGTTGACCGTACATAGTAATGGCAGGGAAATCACAAAAGATATATACTCATAAAACAATCATGACATGACTAACAATTATCAATTTAAAGCCGCGCTATTGCTGAATAGTGTTAACACAGTTAAAAGTATTTTCACACCTGATGATGCTTCGTCTATCATATCTGTGAACAGGAATCGCGGGTTTATCGGCGTCGTCGGTCTCACTTACCCAATGTTTTGTTGATATATTTGTTAATAAGCACCTCTAGTACGGTGAGAGGAACTGGACCACAAGACAATACTGCATCATGGAATTCTCTGAGGTCGAACTTGTCACCTATGCATGACGTATGAATGTTCTGAATTATTGTATAATCTGGTAATATTAATTGAAACGTTTGTTATACTAGTAGTCAATATTCTGTCGACATCTCGGAATGAATCTATGGTGCTCTCTCACTCTCGTTTTCATTCTCTACAGTTCAAGATGAAATTTTAAATAAAAAGTGAAGTACATCTTTTAATTTGTTTGTTTTTTCATTTAATTACACTAATAAGGCTAGTTACACAAAGAACTATGAAGCTGTTACTGGCACTTATTCAACCTAGAATCTTAAAGAAGTCAGTAAATTCCCAATTCTTCAAGAACGAGCAGTTGCAATATATCATTCCTGTAAAGGACTCCATCTCTCGTTAAAACAACGCAAGAATTGTAATATATGTAAACGGAAGGCATAATTACCGAACTCGTCCTCGCATTTCTTTCGCAACTCCCTTATTTTCAGTTCACCGATTGTGTATGCGCATCCCTGAATTACAAATAAAAACATGATCAGTCACAATAATTGAATATGGCAACACTATAATGCAATGAATAAAATGTTAGGTAAATATACGTACCTGTCCAGGTAAAGTTAAGTATCTTCTAACTTCAATTTCTATTACTTCGCGCGACATGGCAGTATTTTCCTCTATGAACTGCACGGCCTTCTCAAAGCTCCATCCATAAACGTGAAGACCGGTATCGACAACTAAACGACATGCCCTGAAAATTTCCGAGCAATAGCGTCCAAATCTGAAATCGATTAGTCGATACGTATATAAAAAAAATGCATATCAATTGTGTCTATATTGCCGGAAGCAAGATCGGGAGAGTGACTTACAAAGTATATGGATCGTCGTACAAACCCATCTCTTCGCCAAGAAACTCGGAGTACATTCCCCAACCCTGTATTTGAAATGTAAATCAATAGTAAAAAAGTGTTTAAATAAAGTAACACGTAATATTACATTAATATAAAATTACTTGAAAACATTGCAAAAATCATCGTTCCGTTCAACTACATCCGGGGTACGTATGTTGCAACATGACAGATTGCATCCAGTATTGTAGGTCATCTTGCAATGCTGTGAGGTATAATCCTCTGATAAATACGCCATCAGATGCCATTGACTGTATTGAGATATTATCTGCAGATTATGAATTTGTAACTAGTAAAAAAGCATGCGCAATCGCCGCGTTCAGGCTAAACCAAGCACGGGCCAGGATTTGAGCTTTGCGTTTGCATAATGGCTAACCACATTGCGTTCATGGACGGAAGGAAACAGTGGTTAGCATAGAATGAGAAGCACCCAAACTTTCACAAATATACAAATCGTCAGTCTGTTTAACTATGCTTACTCAGTAGAGTAAGCAGAAAGGTATGCGTGTTACAATAGTTACAAAAACAATAAAAATGCAAATTTAGAAAGTGTAGATTGGAGAATAAAGGTAAGTGGTACAGAGTTTTATTGCCAGTCAATTTAGTTTGCTAATAATGTCTCTTAAAATGTCACACCGAAATAAACAGCTATTACTATAGTAGTAAATCTTCCAAACGTACTGATGATTATACATCCGCAGATAATGACGACGTCCGCCCGTATTAAGGGTCTGGACCTTCTTAAGCAATGGTCAGATGTAGCTCGTACCTAATCGTTTTTTTGCCCGCACTAATATAAGCGTTCGCGCACGTTTTTATTGTACAGACCTACGTTTTTGGCCTCATTGCCCGCCATAAGAAGCTGTGCGAAGACGGAACTATTCACTGAACTAGCATAGGTGGTTTCGTTTTTCATTGAAGGTCAGTTACATTGTAAGAACGTGACCATTTAATACTCTCGAAATGAAATGGGCGGGAACATGAGGGCAGGAAATTGTTTGATGACAGCATTAGCTTGTCCTGGAATGATGTTTTTTTTCATATTAGAATGCAATTTTGGATAGCGAATTCATCTAAGTTACAGTAAACAGAATAACATACATTTTCACTCTATTCAGATTACACTTCAAATGGCTATCAAGATCTCACTTTGAACGAGAGAAACTACAATTTGTATTTACCCCCTCCAATTATCTTCAGTCGATACTGCCCACTGTCCTATGTAAACGAGGAATTCGGAAGAGTGGATACGATAACGAGAGAATGGCACACTGTTTGAGAGGCACAAACAAGTCAAGTGGTTCTGTCACTCTCGAAGCTCTGAAGGAGATATCAGCGCATGTTTGACTTTGAGTAGTCTTTTAGGAGTATGACTCCTAAAATCAAAAACAAGTAAGATTTCATTCACCTCTATATATCCAGTGTGCATAGGAAATCTTGAAGGCACTATTCCGTAAAAACGATCGTCTTTGAAACGTCTGAATCCAGGAAGATAGTCCATGAGAACACTGTATGAACTTTGTAAATGATGACCAGGCTCTGCTTCATGTAAACATAGTGACATCATTTCAAACATGGGTCTGCGAGTTATATAAATTAAAAATCAATATAATTAATTCAGTCGGTCATTTGTGCTTCAGGAGTTCCGGAAGATCAGGTCAAAGTTGCCGATTATATGCTCATAAGTTTTGCTAATGTCAAGAATATGAGTTACTCTACGTATTCAAGTTGCAAAAAGCGCGACAATGACAACGTTAAAACATACACACATGTCAAAAGCAGCATGTCTGCATTTTAGCTATAGTTACAGTCGAAGTTGAATTAAGAGATAAGTCGACAATCTAATACACTCATCTCTCTGCACAAATATTAACGAATGTATTGTGTGCAATTCACACATATACTGAGGTACTTGTAACATACCTTGCTTGAAAGTTATGACAATTGACGTTAAACACTCCTGGTTTACTTCCATCTGCAGAGGGCCCAAAATAAAATGCGGCACTTAGATGTTCAGCATTCGTAGATATTTCCACTATTCTGAGAGCATAGCAAAAAAAATTCTTATTATTTATTTTTCAATTCATATCCTAGACTATTACGCAATTGAGCATGTCTGGTAATCAAAATGCGTATTGGCAATTGGAATACAGTACCTCATCTCTACATTCGGCATACACTTGAAATACTTCGGCAGAACTTGCTTGACTTGTTTAACTATCTTCTCATAACCTTCCAACAACTCGTTCTGACAATTTAAGATAACAGCGTCACGTTTATTAAACACGATCACTTGTTTTCCACGTTTTTCCCCCTGCAACATCATAGTTCCATCGACCTATTAAATGCTTAATAATCCGTTGTGCGAATCGTGAACTTAATGAAAACAATCTAACCTAAACGTCGTACTGGCCACGCCTGTAAAACATGCGCCCAGTTATGTCACATGTCAACGGAAAAAAAACGATTTCGATATGTGTACAAGGTATAAATGCAAACGAAGATCTAAGCAGTCAGATTTATTTGTATATCAGGCAACAACAATTAATAGAATAAATCGCTATTCTCTTTACTGGATTTGTTTTTAAAGAAAGCGTCATCACTGCAAATGCCCCTCGAAAGATGTCTAGCAAAACCGAGTTTGGTATACAGCTTCAAATTATGTTTCCGTGCGCATGTTTAAAACTCATGCAGTAATAATACCAAAATAAATCTCTCCACACCATATTAATCTCATTTAATCGAATCATACGTTTCTTTTGTCATGTTTTTCGTCACCGTTGTGTATTTGGTGGCGAATTTTCACATGTGTATTACGTTCTACAGGTAATACATTTTCAAACGTATGGTGTATCTTTTCATGTTTTTTTTTTCATTTTTCGGCGTCGTTAAGACTTATTCAAGAAGTGATCACCACTCCTCGGTGGGAGGTAACAATGATGTGACAGTATCAACCTACCTTCGTTTTGAAGTAAAAACGTTTCTCATTTCTTAAATACTCAAAAAATGATTTGATGTCGCCTTGGAAACCAACCTGCTTCATTACCTGCGCATGAAGAGAAAACAATCAGGAAATAGCCATAGGTTCAGTTGTTTTTACAATATAAATGAATATTCAAAAATATGAATAGATAATATAAATGACCATAGAAATTAATGCAGCTTACCCGATGCATATTTTCTTTAATTCGTTTCACCTCTCTGAACCCTATGTTATGGACCTCCTCTGCTGATAGGTCACAGGTAATATGGAACTTTAGCGATTCCTCGTAAAATGCCTTGCCATTTGGTAATGCCGATGACCCCATATTTGTTCGAAGGTGATTAAAGTATTCCTGCATGTAAATTTAAATTAATGAAAGAATAACAACACGTTTTAATAAAAATAAATAACATTACGATACAATACTGGGTACTGGACAACAAACGTGTTCGATGCAGCCAAAGAAGTATGTAACATTGATATCAGCATACTGACACTGACATAAACTTAGGTCCTAAAGTCACTCTTATCACGTCGATACACAATCAAATATAGTATTTACTTCAGTTACACCAATCAACATATTAATCATCCTTCAAAGAATAGATCAATACATCTCACACTTTCCATAAACATATGAAGTAATCTATCTAGCCATACGTGATGCATGTAAACTTACTTTTTTCAGAAAAACCACTAATGTCTTGACAGACTCTTGAATATTATTGACGATTAAGTGAATGCCCTGTGATTTGATCTCTTCTTTTCTGATACAATAGACAGAGAAATCAATGTAGTTCGTAAATTGCTATACACTTTGTGAAGTGACCAATGCTATTTTCATATGATATTGATCTTTGACAACACAAACGAGCAGTTTATGTAACATTTTTGCTCAGCAGATCATGGTGAGGCACACACTAGTTGGATGAATTGTTCGCAGTGAATGAGAAATATCACAAATATATTGTTTGTGTTGTAATCCCAGTTTTAATGATTTTAATTCTGCGACGGGACGACACAGTTCACCATCTTGCAAATCCAACAATATAATGAAATTAACCCATCCGCATTCTTCTATATGAAAGACGTATGTAGGTGTACGAAGAGTAATGAACACATACTGGTTCAAGGTATAGATGTAGGTTCATGGGAACTAAAGGTATGCAATTGTGATTATTTATTCGCACTAGCAAGTAGTAGCTAGCGATAGCCAAACTACAACTGGCGTTTGTACTTTAACAGTTTACGTTGACGTGGAATGAAAGGTGTTAAAATCAAGAAGATATTTTAGCTTCAAGATCCAACATGAAAATGTTTGGGATCACACACTGACATTAAACAATACGCCGAGAAATGTATCAAATTGTTCCACGCACTTATACACAGCCTGTACATTTAAACAAATCCGTAACAATGCCTTTTTATTGGCAATGTATCAAGAGTTTCACTATGTTTCTAAGCTGGGTATATATTTTCATGTATGCCAATTCAATCATAGAATTGTCGAAGCCTATGATTCTACGTACATCATATTACCATTCTGAAATGTTGTGAAACATTAGCCTTTTTGTAAATCTAGCAAGTCGATAATAAACATTTCATCAACATTAAGAGAAACCTTTACCTGTCTTTAGGTATATTTGTCAGCTCACTAATTTCTCGAATGGGGTGTAAAAGGCGGTATCCTTTGGGTCCAATAGGGAGAACTTCTCATTGCTTTCTGCCATTCCTTTCTTAAGAAAAAGAAAAAAGGAGAAAATAGTTTAACAGCATAGCTATATTAAACAAGAAATAAATAAAAGACTAAAATCTTTTTGTTCTCACCACACAGTTGACATGGTGTGTCATTCCTTCCTTGATTCCTTGTTTGAAAAGTTGAATAAAACAATTCATCTGAAAAAAAAATGTGATAATGATCATACATACAGGGAGATTTAATGATATCAAAGACGAAAATAACGTTTTTTTGCCCGAATCGGTAATTGAAGTCCAGAAATCCATCCAAGGTATCTACATACATGCACAGTATTAAAGCAATTGAGCTGGTAGTTGATTGTGGGATTCACACCCACATCGACACTGTGGAGCCTATTCAGTAGGCATCATAACATAATTATTTTGCACTATTTGTTAATTGGGTCATGAAACAAGTTTAATTATTACTGTTTCGTTCCTCGCCGCCCGTATACCGTATAGTAGATTGGTCGCATAACGCCCCTACAAACAGTATAGCTCGATTTACACAGGATCAACTGTTATGTGTGGACAGTACATTCGTAATGTTTTGAGAATTTACATAAGCAGCATTTTGTCATTCCAGGATAAGCTTAGCTCATATAGTTTACTATGAATATGAAGCAGAGGGTTGATGTGCTCACCCTAATGAATTATGTATCAAACTATCCTGGTCCCCCGTACTGAACACTGTCACACAGCTATATCACACTTTGCTTTCAACATTTTAGTCATACACTCATTTTCTATTGTCTTTGAATATACCCTGCTATAATGACAAATTAATTCATCGATGGAAATGATGTTATAGTAAGAACATGGTTACACACACATTGAATCAGACGATCGGATTAAAAAAAAATACCTGCTCAGGGAACTTTTCATATCTTGACAGTAACTTGTTATAATCGCCTTCGTTTTCAAATTTCATTCGATTGATGACGCGGGCAAAGTAGAAACGACCATCTTCGGGCGAATTGAGGCACAACAGATAACTAGACGCGATATTAGGAATAAGAATTACAAAAAAATAACACATAGTCCTTACAATGAATTATTTATGAAATATAATATTTGAGTGTGTGTGTATATATACATCAATTTTGTGAGTATATATTGCCATATTAGAGTATGTACGAGTCACGTATTATACAAAAAGAGCAGACACATTGTCAGCTACACGTGTGTTAAACAGCGCCATGGTGGTTTGCACAGCGCACTGAAAAATGAATGGGCCGCTAATAATGATTCATTGAAAACACACCGTCTACATGACATCATTCAAGCAGATCAAACGTTTGGGGATACAGCGACGTTAATCCGAAACAGAAATAGTAACAACACGCGTATGGCCGATGAATATTATACAGATCTAGCTGAAATAGTAACAACTTGCCCCTTAAATTTAATTCCCGACAGGAACATGTTGAGTTCTTCTTTCAATATAACATAATTTGTCCAGTCTTCTGCGTCCATGTCAGATTCATCGTGGCAGTTCAACTGACGTAAGAACTCTTCGCCTTGTTTCTGTTACAACAAGCAAATATAAAACCTTAATAAAAAGCAAACATGTAGCCCACAAGTTACATGTAATTTACTAACATACTAGAATATTCGGAAAGCGAAATGTAATGTATTATATTATAGTAAGATTCCATGTTAGAGTTAAAGTTAGAGTTTTATAACTGCAATTGGCCACGTGACCCATTTTCCTGGACGTGTGTTCCTTTCTGTAACCCCACGCTTAGTATTTGTCTTTCCATGTAGATTAGTATTCGTAATACTTGTTTTACGATTTGCATTGGCAGATTGCCAAGTTTCTTATATGCATATCAGTAACACCCATTGTTCAAGCGTTTAAGCGTGTGTAATTAGCTAACAGGCAGGCATTTCTGATCTTTGAGCTTAGATAATTGTACTTATTAGAGCCTGGGGGAATTAATAGTTTTCACCAATCCTCCATTACTGGCACACCAGAGAACGAGCACTGAATACCAGCATAAAAAAGGATCAAGCCCACATTGGAAGCGCAAAGGTGATTTAAAGTGCCTTCACACGGCGAAACCCGTAATTGACAGGCATCTTTGGACATTGAATGGAGACGATGGATGGAGGCCATGGTGAAGCGTTTGGCTTCTCTGTTGTGTGTCAATAAGTTCATTTGGTATTTGAGATCAAAAACATCGTTTCAAATAATTACAGTAGCAGTTCATTAGAACCGTTCACCCATAACTCTAATTCTAACTCTGCCCCTTCAGTCCCACCCCAGCACCCCTCCTCCATTTCAATTTGATATACCAATATTTGGGTATAAATATTTGGAGGGGCATATTGAATTGCATTGGGCGACTAGTGTTAGGGTTAGGGTTCAGGTTGAGTTAGGGTTGCAGGCTGAGGAAACCCCCACCCCACCCCACCAAATGGCGATACAGCCAAATATACTAGATCCTGCTACTCCACATTACGCATCGCTACGCTACGACAAGTCCATTGCTTACCTTCATACCATCATACGTTTCGAGCGTATGACAATCCAATTGGTCGTCGTAAACATGGCACCCCGTCAGCGTTGCGAATTCGGGTCTGATTTTCAATCTCCAGTTCCAATAGACATCAGCCAGCTGGCGAACGGCGCTACTAACCCCTTCCTTATGGTGGCAGAATTGTAACGCTTCCGACATCTTGTACGTCTACACGGTTACAGGTTATTTAAATAGATAAATACAAGCAATGTGTACTTTGAGATCAAACAATTGGTCGGTAAATTATTAAATTCGCATTGGTGGCCATATTGTCAATGACCTGGATAGCGTGGGCGTTACACACAAGGTCACGAACTCACAGTGCACTGACAGTGTTTGAGATGCCGAATTCTCAGTACCTCGAATACGCACATTGCCTCTAGATGGCGCTAGATTACGATGCATCTTGGGTAAAGGTCGACATTGTTTACATTATGTCACCGAGTAGCCATAGATACGTACATAAAGAGTTTGCTAACGGTACGCGTTTCCTGCATTTATTATCGTTTTTAAGTGCGAGGCTGTCGACTGTTATTCCCATACTGCTAAGTTAGGACGTCTCGTCAAGTATCCATGAATGTCCGGTTTAAAATGGGTGAAATGGCCAAGAAATAATCGTAAAAGAGTAGCTCGTTGGAAAAGAATAATAAGGAGAAATGTAAAAACAACTACCGGTAACGAGAATAACGTTTTGAATGAACTGAAAGTGACAACAAGAACCAGACTGCTCCAGACACTTTGATTCGGACCAAATTACTGAACGTGGGGCGGCAGTAGGGGACCCGGAGTATTTTGCGTGGAACAACTGGGGTAAACCGGCAACAACTACGGTCAACAGGGAGTTGGAAAACTTATGTATTTTAATAAATTATTAAATAATAAAATGTTAAATAACTTTTCTTTTACCCACCCCCCCCTTTTCTGGTATCGATTTACTTGAAAGTAATAAACGGACGTTGGTTGGTATGAAGTTTTGTACGATGTTGTGAATCAAGATCTGTTAATAATTTCATAAGACTCTTCTCTCAGCTATTTATTCTCTTAATAAACCAAAACGTTATAAATCTAAAGGAAGTGCCGAATATCTTTGATAGCATTGATTATGTAGTGATAGGAGTTAACACTTAGAAACTCGAGATGAGGGCTTGGGTTAAAAATTTCACAAATGATATACCTTCACTTAATTTTGAGCTTCTTTTTACAAGATATTTTTAAAAATATTTGCTTTTCTCTCCAATATTTAATACATGTACGCTTTTATAAACTTATTTTCGGGAACTTTCTTTGCAATATTTGTTTTTTTTAAATTATAGGGGCCCCCATTTTTAATATTTTATGCATATTCGTGTATTTATTTTAATTGCAGTTATGGAACCCATGTTGCACTGCTGGGAGGTCCCATCACCATCTTGCCATGAGTATTTGCATTTTGCCTCACTACAATATGTTGATGTTGAAATGCAAACTGATCTGAAAATGGCAGATATTGATAGAATGAATAACGAAATTAAATCATCCACAATAAAAGGTCAAATATTGTGTTCCTGTACAACATAAACTGATGAGAGGGTTGCGTTTTTTTACTGGATTTCCCTCCAGGAATATACTTGTTGGTATGTCACTTACTGTTAAAACAGAATCCTAATTATGAATAGAAATACTACGAATTTATCCAAATTGATCACAATTTATCCAAACATTCTTGCTATTAGTTTTTATGATGGAGATATACAAATTGTAGGCTGGTGGCATTAAGGTTAAAACAATATATATTCCAGTACCCCAACTACCCTACTTTCTGTGACAAGTGTTGACAAAGTCAAATAATTATTTGTATGGTATCAAAATCTGCAGCTTATGCTTGATGCACATTCGCCTTGATATACCTCTTCTTGTTCTGGCAAATTTATTTGATATCAGTACATCAACTATTACAACTATAACAATTACATGGATAACTTATATGCATCAAGTACTGGGTTCTTTCCTTCTGGTTTGACATACCACTAGATTTCCGCAAACACTTCCCAAATACCAGATGCGTGTTAGACCGTGCAGAGTTTTTTTATTCATCGTCCAAGAAACAAGGAAGAGCAGTACGAAACGTTTTCTCAGTACATACAATGTATGTTTGGAGCTTTTACCTTTGTCAGCGATTTACGGTCAGGCAATGTTTCTGACAAGTACATCACTGACCACAGAGGGATTATCGATAAATTTGAAGAGGGTGATGCAGCAGTGACTGATAGAGGGTTGCAAATTGAGGATTTACTCCTTAAAAAGGGTGCCACTTTAATTGCATCCAGCGTGTAAAATGTTGGCGGATACTGAAATATCAGATTCCACACAGCTTAAATGAAATTTCATCTATGATAGTCCAACTAGTAGCTGCCTTGTGTAATTTGAAGGGACCACTATTTTACAGCAAAGGAGAAAAATAACCTTACAAAAGAAACCTGTTAAATGCGCTAAGAAGCTGTATCAAAAATAAAATGTCAATATATATCTTATTAAAACAACATTTTGTTCAATTATTTCAACTCAATGAGTGCAAAAGTGAGTATAAGTTGTGAAACAATGCAATATTTATTTATTAATTTACACACAAGTAAGGTTTATGATATCATTCAAAACATCAGTCATTATTTAAATTCAATAAATTATTAATTTATTATAAATTTAAAATGTCTTATATAATATGAACTCATTTGTGTAATGTATGGTAATACATGTACACTGTGTATATTTAAAAATTTTATGTAATTTACAATAAATTGCCTGTTTGAAATTTTATGTAATTTATAATATTTAATTTTATTTACAAATTAAATATGTAATTTATCATAAATTATATGTATTTATATTTGCAATCTTATGTAAATAATAATTTAATAATACATTTCCCTATACTTGTCATGACACAGTCTACATTGTACAATAATAAACAAAATGGTGAACCATTCTGCCATTTTAAATCAGAACTCAATGCATGTATATGTAAAGAAATGATTTGATTCATACTTAGAATGTTGGAAATGCTTCTTTTGATATTTTTCAAGTTTTAAATGGATGCCATTCAACCATCCTGAAATCTGCCATGGAACAAATCTATGTGTGACAAGAATGACCAACAGATTAACTACCTCAAGATAACTACAAAAATGTTCATTACACATGTTGATGAAACTATTCACTTAATCAATAATAAAGTTGTGGTATTACACCTTCTACAAACACCTTGGTTGCTTGGTTGCGAAGTATATATTGGGCATTTACCTGTTTTATTTCTTATAGAACTCTCAAAATATCATGATTGTCCAAGGATTTATAATTCTCAGGTGTTGGACCTTTTTTTTCTTAGTGTACTTTTATCTTTTCGGTAGTCAAGATATGATGCTCTTTCCTTCGCCGCGACCATTCTTCTTTTGTGTCTGTGTACACAACAGTATTTTTATCAACTCTTCGACGATTAAAATCAAAGACAGACAACATGCTTGCAAGATCCGTCATCTCTGAAATAAAAAAAAACAGTAATTGTACATGTCTAATTGAGAAAGAACACTTGAAATTACTGGCTTTGAGTAAGAATAGAATAAAGATTTTTGGAAATTGGAAAAACATTAGGTTGATACTGGTTCAGCTGGTTACCATTATTTTACAAAAGTCTGGAGTTGATTTTTAGATTTCCCGGCCATGTTCACTTGATGGTCGCATAATTACCCCCCCCCAAAAAAAATAGCACCCAATTTCAATGCCTAAATTGATAAAAGTGCCTTTTGAACAATGAGGCATATTACGAATTAAAATTAAATTTCAGTAGAGAATTTATATTTTCTACCAAAATTTAGGAGCAACATTTTGCCTATTTTTAAAAATAAAAAATAAAAGAGACTCGACGTGTTTTGTTTTCTGATTACTGACGTTGGCGGTCAGAAAATTACGGGGATATATCTGGTTGCATATAATTATATACACATTTAAATAAACATACTCACGCTGCAACACACTCACATCCAGCTGATTTAATACAACCGTTGGTAGATACCAGTATCCAGGTCTCGTACCTCCCAGCTGTTTGTCTTTGCTCTGATTTGACTAACGCTTGTAGGTAAACATGTTGTGTATGATCTTGTATATACGACCGACTAGAGGGCGCGCTTATTCAAGGTACTGAGAATTGTTCGAGTTACGCAAAGGCTCATGGGTAGACGCTTCTTTGTAAACAATAACACGCTATGGCCATCTGACGTATGCGCAAGCAACGACTCCCCCGCTTTGAGCAAAACAAAACATCCGTAATTTGCCCGTAACCCAAAGCACAATACGTTCGGTTTGATATGAGAGGTGAACATTCAATATGTTTGATATTTCAGAAAATCCATTACAACAGTGTTTATTATAACAAGTTTACATTGTGCTGAAACGGTTACTTCAAAATCATTTCATCCTATCGACGTAGACATGGTGGCCACGTGTCTGGTGAAACTTTCCAGCCAGTTGGTCCACGTTGCTTTACGGTTTTTTTTTTCCATTTAATACGGCAATGTAGAACGTCCGACACCACGTACGTGTCATAGATAAATCTTATTATGTTAATACATGTAGACGTTTGTTGCTAATGAAAAAAAAAGTCAATTATCTAGAACATGGAAAGTAAACATGCTTATATTGTGTTGTTCCGGTCCCTGGTTGTTTCATAATAACTAGATCTCCAGGGAGCGTTTTTCATGTGTAATCAGTCATCTTTGCGATCGTTGTATCGCTAGGGGGTATATCACTCATATCACAACTTGTTCATTCCTTCGCTCTCACTCACTGCCGACTTGAGCGAAACTACCGATTCTTAACAAATGTATGTAACACCCAAGGTACGTAGCGGCATGTGTAGAAAAGGCGGCGTTGCGTGAAAAGGTCTTCCAAATAAATTACTGTCTTTCACGGCTTTCATTTCGAAGCGGTAGCTATGCCATTCTAAATTCTATCCCACTGCAATTCACACATTTTAAACAAGACACACGTACGTCATAATTGCGAATGTAGTTCTGGATGCCATCGAAACACTAATAATGGGCATATTTATGTTATTTATCAGTTAAAATGTCTTTCTATTACTATTCAGAATTGAGGACGTCGTCGGACAAGCTCATCAAAATCAAATTGATGTTTCAGTTTTTTTTATCATAGTATCTGTTGTTATTCTCTCGGTAAAAAAGATCGTGCTGATAAATAACGGTAGATTCTAAACAATTTGGGATTTTAAACAACAGTGAGGCCACACTAGAGGTTACGATGTCAGACGCACCGATTACAGAACAGGTCAACGGTACGAGAGCGATAGCATCGGATGGCA